GGACGCCCTGGACGCATAAAGACATCTTTGTGAGCGCTCCACACTCATTTGAATGCGGGTTCCTTTTTTTTTTTTTTTTAAATGATGTTTATTTTGTATAAAGTTTTGTTAACTTGATGAAAACTTCAGCACTTTTCATAAAGACGCCACTGTGGAGAGAGATTTAGATTTTTATGAGTGGTTTTCTTACAGCACTCAATGGGATGCGAGGCCACTTGCAGCGAGACGTGCTGTCCTCCGGGCTGAGGTATGTGCACACGAAACACAAGACGAACCCGGGTGTTTTTCCGGCCCACGTCCGTCTCGCCCTTCCTCAGCTCGATGTCGGCGTTCCTGAGCTTCAGGATCCCGGCACAGTCGATTCTACCGTGAGGAAGTAAAAAAAAATATAAGCAACGACGGCCACGGCCAATTTATGATCTTTAAAGAATTACCACAATCTCACATTGCTTTCATGTTGTTCTTTGGCTCCAGGGGGATCTCGAGGACTTTGGTGCCGTTGATAATCTTCTCAAAGCTGGTGGTCGTCACAGTCTTGCCGGTGATGCGGTGAACTTGGTAAAAGGCGTGAGGCTTGAGGATGCGCTCGTCCGCTGTGCCGATGAAGATCTGCAGGCCGAGAGGCTCCTTTCCTCTGTAACCATGTAACTGCGGACACAAGAAATAAACTGCGTTTGGTTTTTGGCTTCACTTTAAAACTCCTGCTGTTGGTAACAGAGATACAGTTTTGTGCGAAGGAAATGTTTGTGTCACTTTAAACTGGTTGTGTTACTCCATTGCCTCTTGCTCCAGCTTTGCATTTCCAGATGTTGTTTCCCCCAGAGGTGGCTAATCAGTGTCAGACCCACGTGTAAAAGCATGAGTCTTCCCTCTACAGCCTCGAGCAGGAGCCAGCACGGAGCTCACATCCTGCAGAACGAGTTCTAAAGTCTTTTCAGAACTGCTTGAAGAGTTTACTAAAAAAAAAAAACTGACATTAACAGATGTGCCACATTTGGCATCAAACCACTGTTCATGCCCTGCTGCAGAAATTAAAACGTGTAAATGGGTGAAGCTGTGAACCGGAGCCAGACGTAGAGGCAGCGGCACAGAGGTGAAACTTTTAATCAGAGAGTTCCTCCTGAGGAAACCTGCAAAAAAACCACAACGCATCGACTTGCATCTAAATGCAAACAGTGAATTGCATAACCTTTATCACAGAATAAAGCGGTGGTGTCAGGGAGGAGGAGAACTCTACAGGTACATTTCTCCAGTTTAACTACGGAGCCACTTTCTGCCTCACAACCCAGAAATATAGTTTATTTTCAAATGTGTCGTTTGATTTTTTTTTCCCCCGTGAAGAAGGTCACAGCAAGACACTTCCTTTTAATCCTGATCAGCGTGAAACAGATGATCCGACTGTCACACTTCACAGAGGCGGCTGGATGTTCGCGGAAACTATGGCAACGTGAAGCATGAGCGTGCTGGGTCCTTTTCCAGGCAGCTGACTGACACACACAGCGAAACAGAGGGAGTCGACTGCAAACGCTCCGCGGGCCATGTGAGCGGCCGGCCGGTCGTCATGGCAGCGGCAGGAGCAGTGAGTCATGACAGAGACCAGTGTAGGAAAAGTAAAGTGGAGAGTGCAGGGTCGCGTAGAAGAGGGCAAGGAAGGAAAACATAGAGAGCAGGGGAGGAGGAGAGAGGAGGAAGGGAAGGACGAGGTGAAGGAGTGCAGCCGTGGCTAACCAGGCCTGACCATCTGATTGGCCGGGGGCAGAACTGACCTCAGGGTGAGGCACTATGGGGATCGAACAGAAAATGGAAAAGCAGCAAGAGAGGTGGCTACTGGTGCTCATGGAATACATGTCAAAACACGAGAGGAAAACTCCTCCAAAAATAATAGCGTGAAGAATCCAGGTCTAGGAACTGGTTTGCCTTTCGGCTTTGGAACGACCTGAGGAGATAAGGCTCTCAGAGTCAGTGGCTTCTTTTCAGTCTCTTCTCAAAACCCATGTTTGTAGATTTGCTTTCATGTGTTATTTATTTGTTATCGTCATATTAGAGCTTGTTTCCATGTCCGGCCTCCTCGTCACACTTCGTTGTTATTTCTCTGAGATTTTTCTTTGTAAACTCTATAAATAAAGTGTTTTGAGTGCCTGGACCTTGATTCTTTGACTTGTTGCCTTGGCAACACAAAAAAAGGGGAAACGGGAACCCCAGTCGTTGGGCGACGGAGCCCGACGCAACCGTGTCACGGCTAATTTCAAAATGCTGCGTTAGAATTTCATGTTGTGACTTTCTTTTCCCACCAATTTACAATAATCTCAACCGCAGGCGTTGACCTTTTACAATCCGCCTCCAGAGGCTTTGAATCAGCTTCCTGGTTCGAGACCCACAGTCAACAAACCGGCGTGTAAGGGGAAGTGAGGGACAACACGGACACAGGCGTGTTTGTGTGGTCAGGGCACACAGCAGCGGACTATTAAAAGCTGGAGGGCAGGATTTAAAAAAGAATCTGAGAGCCTGTGTGTTGCCCGCTGACCCCAGTTCGGCTCTGAGGGTTGTGACGAGGCTACAGGGTGGCTACGGTGCGTCACATGTCTGGGGCTGAGTCGTCCCTTTATGATTTGTTTGTTTGGAAAAGGGAAAGGAACTCATGTAGGAACCAAACCGCCACTGCTGAGTGGATAATGAGATATCCTCACATGTGAGACGCCCCAGTCTGAGGGGGACATACCTGAGGACATGATGGAACCTTGACTGCGCTGCTACATGTTTTTTCTTTGGGGTCGTACCTGCACAACTGGATGTCCTCCTGTCGGGGCTTTCACCGCCCCCCTGCTCCCCTCCGTCTCATAGTGAGCTCTGTGGTGCGGCTTGGGCTGCACGTCGATGTGGAGCTCGTACTGGTCAGTGCGTCTGGGCATCGGCCATTCCAGCGGAGGGAGGGAGGCCACGGGGATGCTACGGGACGTGAAGGACACAGAGGAGAACGTCAGTCACAGAAATGATCAAGATTATGAGGCAGAACATCTGAGTTTGTCTCTGTGTGCATGTGAGTGAACCAACAGCAATGAGCTCTGGTTTATCGGTTTACCTGCAGATGCTGGAAACCAGCGGCTTGGACCAGATTGGGGGGATGACAAAGAAAGGCTCTGCGGCAGGTTTGGTTTTTATGTCCTGGTCGCAGGAAACCAAGTAGTTCCCTTCAACGTGGTTCTCTGGGCACAGAGTGTAAACCTGGTTGGACGTCTTGACTATCTTAGTGGGCACCAGGCCTGGCTGACCGGCGCCAAAGCCGTTCATGGCATCGGCGAGGCTGCTGTGTGTATAGTGGGCACCGATGTGGTCTTCATGGACGCTGTGGGGGGAGGGACTGCGGGAGCGATGTCCAGAGACCAAGCCTGGATTCCTGTACATGTCGTAGGTGCGTTTGCCCTGTGGGGACGTGGAGCGGGAGCCAGGTCTGGGGGAGGGCGAGCGCTGGCCCAGGCCGTCCTCGGCTAGGCTGGTGCGAGGAGAGGTGCCCGGGGAGGTGCGTGGGGAGCCAGTGTGGATGTTCTGCAATCGGGGGCAGAGGTCACCGGGGTTCTGGCCGCTGCCGGGGGACACACAGGGGGACGTCCAGGGGGAGTAGTTCTCCGAGTGCCAGCTGGCGGAGGAGTTGCTGCTGGCGGGACTCAGGCACTGGGGCTCACGGTAGGCGAGGCTCTCATGGCCGGGGACAGTGAGGGTGGGTCTGGGGCTAATGTTCAGGTGGTGGTTCTGCAGGGAGTCCCGACCATGGTTGTAGTGCTCACGGGAGGGTGTGATTTCAATCCGCGGGCTCAGAGCCAGGCCTGCAGGCCGGGTGCTGTCCAGGTAGTTTCTGGCCTCCTGGTTGTCATATCCTGAGAGCACCTCAGTGTTGTGCCCACTGTAGGGGGGGCTGCAGGACTTGATGCCGTACGGGGAGGCCTCCTCCAGGGGGAAAGCCTGCTCCGACACTGGGCCGAGGAGTTTGTGGGATGCAAGGTTGGGGTCATCTGCAAGGGGGCGGGAGGCAAAGGTAAAAACTCAGCACAGATATTTTAAAAAGCATAAATGTTTTCACAGCCAGAGATTGTTCATATTATTTCTTAAGAAAGACGCTGACATGCACGTCTCTATAACAACTGCACATTCATCTTGCAACATTTAAAAAAAATCATTTTCAACTTTTTTCCCTCAGGTGGAAAAAGCTTCTTCGTGTTGACATGTCCTCCAGATGTCAGGACCCACATCAAGAAGCCTCTCAAATTCACTTCCTGTTTGTCTCTCTTATGCAGCAACACAAACAAACCTGGATTCATTTGAACACAATAAATAACCAGCACAGGGAGTTGACTCAGCTCAGGTCGCCTCTAAACACGAATCCTCGGACAAACCTTGATCTCCTCCAGCAAAGTCGCTGCAAGGTGGCTCATATTCAAACAAGTAGTCAAACTCCAGGTCGTCATCGGGGTAGTGGACTCGACTGAGCTCTTCCTCCAGGTCTTTCTCGTCGTAAAAGGAGGTCATCGGTCTGAATGTTTCTCCTCACGGCTCCTCTGGGTTCGGGCGCAGCGGCAGAGACGCGCGGCTGAAGCTTCGTCGGCGCAAACGTGGATCAGGCGAACAACCTGCGCTAGTGTCAAGTGATGCATTGGTGAAGCACAAGTTTCCTGTTTCGGTTGTTCTCAGAGGAAGGCGGGACTGTGTTCGCACTTTTTTTTTTTTTTTTTTGGAGTTAACCTCTGAGCCGGATCGCGCCTCCCCTGAGCCGCTGATGAAGGAAGAAGGCAGGTTTGGAGGTGATGACTTATCTGCCACAGGTTGAACGGATGACTGTGAACCTCCCGACTGAGAGTGTGGTGCTGCCCCCGGGTGTTTGACATGTTGCAGTGACACAGCACGGAGCTGACTGAGCCAGTCACCAAAACAGCCTCGTCTCAGGTCTGTGCGTAATCACGGTGGATGGATAAACGTGCACTGAAACATTTACACTTCAGTCTTTTCTCTCGCTGTCTTGGACTGGATATCTTCCTCTTCATCATCTTCTTCTTCTTTGGCAACCTCTACGCACCGGTTCTGCTGAGGGAATCCCCAACTTTACGCACGACGCAGCGCACATAACTTGGGCGTTCCCTCCAGTTGTAGCCTTACACCCACTGGGCCAACAGCCTACTGTAAATGCTCTGTCAGCGAAAAACCACACATGTTCACCGTGAATCCTATGGCCAGCTTTAAAATCTCTTGTAATATATTTAACATACAGTTTGATCGCCACAGGGGAATCCAGATGGAAACCTTGCACCTTTACATCTTGGACTCTTGCATGCTCGTTTACGTGCATTGTCCATTTTAAATTACACAAATAAACATAATCACAATACTTATAGTCGCGTCAAACAAGATAACACATCTGAGAAAGTGTGACAAGCACAGAAAAACACATAATCATAATTATATCAGTCAGGTACTTGATCTCCTTGTTCAGTCTTTAAACTAATCCTCGGTCTTTAAATATGTAACTAAAGCTTAATGGACATTCATACATTATTTTGTCCATGTCCTCTTGTCGTTAGATTAAGTCCAAAATGTCTATTGGAGATCACAATAAAATCAGATTTGTTAGTTGTGACTGTTCCTGAACATCTTGGAGTTTCCCTGTGATGTCAGGACACGCTGATCCACTACAAACATCCCAGCTACACAGATGACACTACATCATTTCAGTCCTGAGGCTAACACCGCTCTATCAGTTAAAAATCAAATGGGTTGATTACCAGATAATCACAACACTTCTGCAGTACCTTGATCCATCGACCTCATGGTGTGGTACTGCGCCAGCCTCCAAGTATCTCTAAACATCTGGAGAAAAATAAGAGGCGACGAAAAAATAAAAAAAAATAAAAGAAATAAAATAACGTATACTGAAATAAAAAAAAAGAAAAGATCAGTGTCCTCTAACAACCATGTCAGAAGAAGCGCTCTTCGGTTAAAAGTGTTGAAAGGAGACGAGCAGCAGCCGTGCGTAAAAGTCGCTTTCTGTTGAAAAACATGCAGCCAGCTCCAGTCAGCTCCAGCAGCGGTTCTGGTATGAAGTCCCTCTTCCTAGAGCTCTATAAGGATTACTTGAGTATCAAGAGCGGCTTCCTTCCCCGCTCTGGGTGTTTATAATGGTCCAATGCTGTAAAATAACGGGATTCCCTCAGTGTTTCCTCCTGTTTGTGCGCCTTTGCCATGGAAACCTGGAGCCGGTCCACGTCGGAGACTCAGGGCTTTCCTGCAAAGCCCCACACTCAGGAATCCATGACGTCTCCGGCTCCTGCGCCAAGGCATTTCTGCGGCTTCTCTCAGACAGTAGCGCACAAGAACCTCATTGTGGGGATGAAGAAATTACTGTAGGACACTGAGAGACAGGGAGGGAGAGGAAAAAAGAAAATAGCTGAAGTCTGATTACAGGATACACTAAAATTTACTTAACACACTTTTACCAGACTGTTCTGTCCCACAGTTTATATTATCATATGTAAATATAACAAACCAAGGCAGCTTAAAAAACTTTGTTCGGATTAAATTTAAAGTGTCGTGGTTCGTTTTAAACGTGAATATAGAGAATTCCATTGTTCCCGGTGAGGGAAGCGTCCAAGTCCTCATGGAAACTTGCAGCATCTTCTGAACAAGACAAGCCCACTACATAGACTGACCCCAGTGGAGTCACGTGGACAAATTCTCCATTGCAATAAAAGTTATATAAGGCTGTATCCAAGGAGGGAGGGGTGGAAGGACGGGGTGGTGGGGGTGTATTTTCTATTTTGGATGAATCTGCGTTGAGGCTTCTCATGTCGTGTCCTCACATGAAACTTCATTGTCTGGTGCAGGGAGAGGAGCGTGTACCTGGGGTCACCGACACTCTTCACTAAGGAGTCCCACACTGGAGCTTCTTTGAATAAATCACATGGGAATCTCTTGTGTAACTGTGTAAAATGATGTTTCTTGCCGTAGCCCTCTGAATTTCACGGTGAACTGCATCACGCTACTTTAAGTCCAAGTGTCGGCACAGACAAAGTGAACTCCGGGCAGTAAATCCTACACACGGAGTCGTGTTTCAGTTTATGTGCCGTCAAGTATGTCACAGATTTGTGGCTTCGTGATGAATTGGGAGGGAGAAGCGGAGCTGTAGGTTCCCTTTTTTTATTTCTAAATGGATAATGAATGAAAACCTCTGGTGGTTAATTTGGGAATAATCCGGTGACAATAACAGGCTTCCCATTGTACACAAGGTCAAAGATGTTAGAGGATGTGAGAGGTCTTCTGGTCTAAAAAAGATCTCAGATGAAGAGACTGTGGTGTCCTCATGAAGGGACCAGACCTACAGAACACTGTCCTCAGGTGGACACCACACGGAGAACACAAGTTCAGCCATGGACAGGCCCAGATGGAGGCAGGTCATCCATCCTTATCCTTAACTAGAATGTAAATCACTTATATTTTGAACGTGAAGCAGCCAGGAAACCATTAGTTTCAAAGAACATAATGAACCATCGGCAGCACCGAGGGTCCATCCATCATTATCTATCTTGAGGGTGGCGTGGGGGAGCTGGAGACAAACCACCGTTCACACCGATGAGGAGACATCCGTCCATGTCTCTGGACCGTGGGAGGAAGGTGGAGAAATCCCACAAAAAAACACGAGGAGAACATTCAGGATCAAGAAATGATATTTAATGTGTCATCAACAACATTACATCTCGTTTGTTAATCATTTGTGACTTGTAGAGTCATGCAGTTCATACTCAACATAATATATGACAAAAAATGATAGACACCAGACAAGACTTCAACGTAGCCGCGATGACTGATCTTATACATCATCATGTCAGAGTCGAGGCCATTCATAGGAAAATGTGTGTTTGTCTCGAGAGAGGAGGAGGAGGAGGAGGAGGAGGAGGAGGAGGAGGAGGAGGAGGAGGAGGAGGGATAATCAGAGGATCTGCTCTGGATTGAGACATGGATTAGTCTGAGTGAGGGAGTCTGCTGGATGACCAAGGTGACTGCAGCGAGTCTGTGGACCGCGGCGGACAGGGCCGACGTGTTGGGGGTAACCGTGCGGCAGCCGTGTCTACCAGATGTAAATTCCTCCACTGTTACGGAACACTTATGCAACTCAAATTATGAATGAGCAAATGAGAGCGGCACACGCGTAAGAAAGGAAAACTGCCTCCGTCCAGACGGCCGAGTTTGCACTTCCTTGTTTCTCAGAGAACCCACTTTTTCCAGGTTCATGCAGTATTTTCCATCACTGTAAAACAGCTCACTGGCTCGTCTGGGTTAGAGCATTGCCCCGTTTGAGTTTTCCAAGTGTAACATATGTGATTGAGCTTTTAAATCCAAGCAGTGGAACTTTGGTATGGAAATGTTGCCTCGTGTGGTGTCTCATGGAAACTTCTCAGAGGAAACTCAGGGGGCAAAGGGAAGCGTGGACTTTTGATCTGCTTCCTCGTCGGCCAGGTACATCGCACTTTTCTCCCCCTTCATTAGCTCTGGTTAAACTTTTAAACTTGATGATATTCAGAGTTAGTCATCCATCGTCTCCACTGCTTTCTCTACTGGCTGTTCCATCCAAGGTTGCAGGGCTGGAGCCTGTCCCAGCATGCATTGCATTATGGTACACCTGAACAGGTCTGTCACACCCATGAGTATCATCGCTGAAATTCTATCATGTCTGGTCTACGACGGATTTCATCTTTGTGTCTCCAGCTTGTCCCGCTCTCACCGCTGCATCGTTAGCTACTTGAGCAGCTGCAGTTCGGATAGCTAGCTCGTTAGCTCGGTCGCCGCCGCACAATGAATCCTGCTCTCAGATCCACGAGTAGAATCAGGTGTTGAAAGACACGTTTGTCGACAGTGTTCGAAGCAGCTGTCGAAACAGGACAGATTCGTCATGTTGCTGGTTCTTCACCGCGGCCTCCGAAGGATGAATTAAGAGCCGGACAGAGACACAGTTCTGAGACTGAAACTAAACATCTGGGTCGGTCTAGAGGTTCCAGTTTCTCACAGTGAACTTGTTGTATCCTCTTTTTTAACCCACGGAAAAAATATAAAACATCCACCTATAAAAATACCAATTCTAATAATGAAATAAATAAAAATAAATATAATCTAAAAGTCTCCTGCTTCACTGACGTCCTCTCTCAGTGTTGAATTAAAGCTTCCACGTCACATCTGTTTAACTTTTGTTGACGTTTCACTTCCAACCTTCTAATAACTCTCCTCTATCCACAACTCGGACAAAAGAAAAAAAACATCTCTGTTCAGCTGATGGAAGTGAAAACAGATCTTCATTACTGCGGTAACAATAATCAAATCTCTCAGGGGAGTGAAGCACATGATCGGAGAATCTGTGCGCTGCCTTATTCTGTAGCAGCCTAATTAAAGTAGGTCGTGTTTCATAATTAACAATAGATGTTAGACGAGCAGAGCCGGAGCTGCTGAGCCTGGAGTCCAGTGTGGGTAATGCTGGCATGTCATTGTGCAATAAGGAATCTTGTTTCCTTCCTGCCACAACTCGAGATCCCTGGAAAACCTTGTGCTCCTTTTTTCCGAATTGTACGAATGAACTAATATGTTCCGTCAACATGGAAACTACATACATCCACGCTGGATGAGACCGCCTCCTTATGTAATAGGATTCTGATCGATACTCAAATGTTTGTAGAAAGAATTCAAGTGTCTTAAGTCC